TTTTTTTTTTTGTACCGGCCGCGCTCGAATCATCGAAAGAGAATAACATTCGTCTCGAAATGCCTCGAACGACGATACAAGGATAAATTATTCTCGTGTGCTAATATTTCCATAGTATCGTTATACTATATACCATTTATCGCTGCAATACGAATTTCGATTCGGACTAGTTTCAGTATCTTTAGCTAGCAGTGCCTACGTAATAAAGCGGTTCCTTCGATAAAGGCTCTAGATCATGACTTTTACATCGACGTGAATCGGACGATCTTCGTTCCATTTTTCCTTACTATACATTTCAATTTCGAAATTAATAAAACAATTTCATGATTTATAATCGTAATATTGGATTACATTTAAAAAAAAAAGGAAAATTTTTATTTTGAAAAGAAATATTGGATTACGAGTTCGCGTGATAATCGAAAGATCGTCCGATTCGTGAATCTACGCGTGGCAGTGAACTAGCACGAAGCTTAAACAAAGACGTCGACGCGAGTCGAGGTTATCTCCATGTGGACGGAACGTTTCCGTGGTTCCTCTCGTCGAAAGCCGACGTTATTGTCCTTAATTGCACCGCGAATTAAGTGACCCAATACTGGACTCTCTTACGCCTCTATGGGAGCCAGATTAACGGCGCCACCGTGTTCGCTGTTATACTTATCGTCAACAACGATCTCTTAACAATTATCTTAAATCAAAGAGCCAACAAACGAGACAAAAAAAAAAAGAGATCAGCCTCTCAATATAACAACTCTTTCTTCCCTAATTCATGATTTTCATCCATTCATTTTCCATCCATTTTGTACTATTCCGCTTAACCGTTCGAAAATTCGATCCATGTATAAAATTCGTAAAAATATTTTTCCAATTTCTTCGCACTCGTATTTCATTTACGTAAGAAATTACGTAAAAACTTTGCTTCTTCTACGCTTCTTGCGTATAAAATTGTATAATATAGCTTTAAGAAAAAAAAAAAAAAAAAGAAAAAGAAAGAAAGAAAGATTGATTTAAAATATCCATTCAACGCACAGATTGTTCGATCTCTTGATCTCGCGATCAAGCTACGTGCTTGCCTCGTCGATCACGGTGATCACCCTGTTATTAGGAGGCACATTAGGAGCCGCGTGCCATTTAGGCTTAGCTTCGGGCTCCTCGTTTTGAGGTTGTGGTGCTGAGGGACGATCGAGGTTCGATTGGCCACCTTTCGAACGGGCCAGGGACCACCTTCGACCTCGGCGATCCGTGATGATCGGTATTTCAGCTATCAGATTGTTCTCGAACTCGGACAGCATCAGATAGTTCTCGACCTTGTTGCACGAGGTTATACAATCCCCGATGTAATCGAGGTCCTCGAGCATGTTGTCGGGAAGGTCCATGTCTGCGATTCCCTCCTCAGAGATGCACGTTAACTCGGGTTTCTCTGGGGCAAGACCGTCGACGTATTCGCCTGAAACCAGATTTTTCATTCTCTTCCTCTTCTTGGTCTCTTGTACAATCATACAAATTTTATTTGACCGGTTTTAACATTTTTCCCATTCAATTTAGAGACAATTTAGAGTCAATCTCTCTTATTATTAAGCACACCTTGATTCGGCGCAATCTCGGCACCAAGCACGAGGGCGGCTGCAGCAGCCCCGGCAGCAGCCACGTGCGGGCCATCGTTGTCCGGTTCCTGGCTGAACGACAACTTCCTCCGTTGCGGACAAGTGTCCGAGACGCAGAGGTGCTTGGTCCCGTTAGACCTCACGTGTTTGTGCCTCGACAAGTTTCTTCTGTGAAGATCTATGAAGAAGAGGGTGAAGCTGCCCACCAGTACGCAGGTCGAGCTGAAGTAGTAACCAGCTTTCCCACCGCAACTGATGTTCATGTATCCTGCAAAATCTCTCAACTTTCCTTCTTCTTCGTCGTTAACGTTCCATTAATCGTTTCTTTTTTTTCAAAACGTTTTTCTCTTAAAAACGATTTTGAAAAACGATTCGAGGCCCGTTCTTTTTACCTGAAATTGGAACTCCAATCGCTATTGGTATGGCTTGGGAACATTGAACGAAACCCCACGTTCTCGCGAAATTCCTCGCTCTCACTCTCTCGTAGGTGTACATTTTCAGGCTGTAATGGTAGCCGCCGCAGAAGATGCCTGTAAAACCACGATTTCTTGATTTCTTAGTCTTAGAAATTAGAATTGCCGTTAGAATTTGGAAGTTCCAAATTTCATTTGTTAAAAGGATACGCGAGAAAAAAGTTTGCGAAGAATTTGGGACGCGAATTCTTATTTCGGAAGGGAATTATTTTCGAGAAAGCACACGCGTTTTTATGGACAACGTACCGTATATCCAGGCGAACAACACATATCCGTGATAATTTCCTTGAACGGCGGTGAGAGCCAGAATGCACAATCCGCATACAAATATCGCCGCTTGCGTGAGATACTGACGCGCTATCCTGCATTCGACGCTGCGATGCACGACCAAAAGGCCAAAGGCGACACAGCCGAGGGTCCAGGCCAGACCGAGATAAGCCTGAAGCAGGATCACCGTGTCCCCAAGGCCTTCTTCTTCGGCTTGGTGCGCCTTGAAAAAAGACATTTTTTTTCACATCCAAAAAGAATTAACTGTGTTTGTATCTTGAAAAAAAAATATATATATAATGTTTGTTTGTTTTAAGAATAATCGTAGATATTTAAATTTTCTAAGGTAAATGTTTTGATCGTGCTGCATTTTACCAGGTAAAATATCGGGGTGTTGATCCCGAAGGCAGATATCCCAGTGGACACGAGCAGTATTCTCACTGTTTTGCTCTTCAGCGTACTGAAGTCGAAGAACGGTGGACCATCGTCCGTCTTGTTCTTATCCTTAATCTTACGCTTTTGGTTTTTCAGATGTAGAATAGCTCTACGTTGCGGATGGTACAGGGATGCGCTTCGATAAAAGGTGCCTAAGATGAACGTGAGGAAAACCACGCCGGTCACTGCTTGAAGGCCTAAGCGCCACCCAATCTTGCTGAAAATATAAAGAACGTTTTTCAGTTTTTTTAATTTCTTCTCTTTTTTTAAATTAGCATTAACGTTATTACGTTTGATATGTGAAAGATAAAAATTTATATCACATTGTGTTATTACCTAATCATTCCCTTAATGAAAGCCGACATAACAGCGATACCAAGGCCACTTCCGGACACGATAAAAATCTCGACCAGTTCTCGCCTCCTCTTAAAATATTGCGCCACCATTAAAGTGCTACAATCCCTGGTCATGCCGACTCCTATACCTGTGTAAAGTAATTAATAAAAACTTCATAATCTCATCGCATTAACATTTAACGTTTTAATCAATATTTTTAATTGTAAAATAATTTTGAGAAATCGTACGAGCGAATCTCTTCAAGATATTTAGAGATAGATGTGGGCGTGCGTTATAAAAAGTCCAGTCATAATTGCGTAACTGAGAAAGACAGAAAGTGAATGATGATTTAATCGATTAAAAAAGGAAACGTTTCTACAAATTATGTTACGCAACTTCTTATTATTATACTCTTCCCTTCAAAAAAAAAAAAAAAAAAAGAAAAGGAAAAAGAAATTGAGAGTAAAGGAATTGACAATATTTTACAGTGACTCACCGACAACGGTGCCATAGCTGATGAACAATTGGTGGAACTGCGAGGCGAAAGAAGTGAAAAGGCAGCCGAGAGCTGTAACGAGGCCACCCAAAACCGCGGTGAGTCTTGTACTTTTTCTCCGACAAAACGCTATTGTTACCGGTGAAACTAGTAGAGCCACTCCTGTCGACATTGCTCCTAGCCATCCTATAAATAGATCAAACTTTCTTAATCGATTTTTCATTTGTTTCAATTTTTCGTAAAAATAGACGACAGTTGAAAAAAAGAATGGATGAACGCACGAATACTGTTGTGCCAATGGTGTGCGTCTTAAATGGACGACGACCTCATCTCCTCTTTCTTTTACTTCACGCTTGTTAAATTTTCTCGAAAAAGAAAAACCATCTCTGATCGATGAGAGGAATCAACACGATTCGAAATATTTCTTGAAAAAAGCCAACTGAAATCTCTCAGAATCTTCACAAACTTGAAATCGAATCAAATCCTCCCTAGTTAAATCTTTATAAATGGATTTTATTTATACTTCCTGATTTAATTATCTAATTATACAGTTAGATAATATTGAGTCGATTAAGCAAAGTCGAAAACACTTCACGCCTCATTGTTCATCGATATTTAAATTCTCTCGAGCTCCATTTGCGCCGGTTTGCTGTACGATTTATGCGTTTCATATGCCGGATTCGAGTTTCACTCGCTCGTCGTTCAATCTCTATCCGGCCATATTTCACCTTTCTAGTTTGCGATCGTAATAAACGTAACCGGGCTTCCCCTCAATTAAAATCATATCGCGGCAAGATCGATATCCCTATCTACGTATTTCGTCCTAGTCACCGTATTTCCACCGCACTATATTTCTCTCTTCGTCCAATTGGATTATCGTAAAGAGATCGAAATGATAAATCGATTTCGAGTTAGCCAATCTACTCTTCCACTTTATTTTATACAGATATTTATTCGGATACCAAATGAACAGGAACCATATGTATCTGATTCTAAGAGATTAAAACGAAACAAAAAGAGATTACAGATGTACAAAAATTTTGTACAATCATTTTTCAAAGTGCAAGTTTGATCTTTCGTTGGATCTCGTTTTTAATTAATTTAATTTAATTCAATTTTGCGCACAAATGGATAAAGCGAGACCGTTTCGTTCACACTTCTATTCCAAGACAAAATTAAATTTCCCAATCTCGTGTTTGTTTCAATTCCTAAAGTTATCTCTTCAATTTTTCACCTAATTGTTTCGAATACCAGGTATATCTTCGCGATCCATCTCTCCTCCTCGCGTATTCTTTTACCTCGATCTTTTTAAGACCGCCTATTAAACACCATACCTACCTTCTGCTAAACAGAAGTCAGATTTCTCTATCGAGGTTAAGACCGTTTTAATTACAAACAGCGACGAATAGCCAGGCCTAGTTGTTGCAAGTCTGCCGCTGGGTCGTTTAATTAATTTTCACCGTTCCACGCGAACGGAGCCGCAAACAGACTCATCGATCAACGACCATCGGGGAATGCCGTCCATCGCAGAAGATGGGGGACGCCGCGCCGCTCGAAGACAAAGGGAAGGTATTCGAAGGATAAAAAGAACGGTTATTAATCTCTCGCGAGTCGACGTGGAACTACTATGGAACTCGAGGCTCGAGTTACTTTGATTCAATAGGTTCGTTGTTGGGTCGAGGTGTCGGCTTTTTTTTCTTTTCGAGAATTAATTGAGAATTGAGATTTTTTTAAAAGAGAGTGGAATAGGATCCTTTTAGAAAAGGATCTATGGTATCTCAATTTTTCTTGTTGTTCGTTGTACATATGATGGAACGAAAGATTGAATGGGAAGATGGAGGGAAGAGATATCAAAGGATGAGGAGAGATTTTTTTTTTTTGGTAAAGTTTTTGGTGAGGAATAGAAAAGTATAAGGGATGAAAATTTGTTCCATAAGAAACAACCGGGACGAATTTATCGATCATCCTGTCAAGTAATTTTTTTTACGGCTTAGTTACAAAGACGCGGAGTTAATGGATGATAAAAAGGTTTGATTATCAATCTCGGTTGAATAGTTGGAGGCATGATAAGCGTTTAAATGTCCCTTGTCAGAAATAACTTATTCGTAGGTCTTTTCTTTTTCACTTAATTCCTCCTTTTATTTTCATTGCTCTGCGTGATGAAATTCTTTCTGAAATTTTAGCGGTATAAAGATATGCGTTTAAGATTAATTAAAATATAGTTAGAAATAAATGAAATGATTCTATTGAAATTTTTTAATAAATTTTCCCGAAAGAAAATATTTGGCATGTTCAATTTCAAATTGACTTGAAAATTTTCTTGAATTTCCTTCTTTCCATTTTGTAAAAGTATTATTATGTGCGAAGGAATTAATATAGGAAGTAAAAGAGGAAGATCAGTCAAGAAGTTGCAGATTTCAAAGGAATCGTTTCAATACACAATGCCTCCCCCATTATGTATCGTTTCCTCTTCCATAGTCTCTCTCCACCCTTGTCATCGGTCTGGATCAGGAGTCTCGAACGAGAATCCCCAAGGGTGCTACGATCTCCACCCTTGAATTTCGTTTGAAGAAACGAACGAGAGGGAGAGTGAATTGGCGAAATAGCCGGTCAACGGCCCTTTGGATCGTAACCTCGTGACAACTCTATCCAAACGAGATGCTAGGCGATCCCTAGGGGCAATGTCAACCAACGTTATAAAGTTTACGATCGAGGATAGTTGTCTTCTTCTCTAAAATTTTACCAACGTTTTATTATACCGATAAAACTATAATGTGAGGAAAAAAAAATATACGAAGTTTAAACAAATATCACATCTTTATAATCTCAAAATTCAGATGTTTCCTTCGTGTTCACGAATTCATCTTAATCTAAAATTAACCTCCACGCATCCTCCACGCGTTCTTTCTCGATCTTATTTAAAATTAGCAGTCTAATGTCTCTCTTCGAAACTCCACTTTCCTCTTCTTCGATAAAACGTGATAAAACGAGAAATCTCGGGAGCTCGAAAAAAAAATTCGTTACAATCGAAATGTGCTTTGTTTCTAAACAACGGCCCTCGCAAATGGAGGGCGAGAAGGGAAAGGGCGAGAGCTCGTTAGCGGCTCGAAGCGAAGGCGTGGAAGGAAAAAAAGAAAAACGGAAGATGATGGTAACGTCAGACGAACTCGCTTTTACGGGAACGACGATAAAGAGAGGCGTGTTTTTTCTTTTTTCTTTTTCAAGATTTTTGCTCGTTGAATTATAATAACGCTCGATAACAACTCGTTTGTAGCGAGACGTTTCGTTGGCGTACGGTTATCGTTTCAGGCAAATTGTCCTTCCCTTTTTTCTCCGTACCCATGAAATATTCAAGCGATATCGTATTTTTCTTCTCGTTGTCAAGGCCCGCCTCGCAACTTCAGACTCGATGAGTTTCTCCGTTTGCCGCTGCTTGTCCGCGATAAATTTTTAAAACCGAGCATAGGGGGACAGAAGATCGGTATGGATTCGTATTCTTCCAGCAGATTTAGATACGACGAGTCGATATCAATATGCTCGATGATTTAGAAACGTGAGTTGAATTAGGAAAGACAGAAATATTTCTACGAGGATTTAAATGCGTGTGAATTTTTTTAATAGCCCATAATACAATTTTACGACAATTGTAGCGCTTTTTGCTTTTCCCGTTTCCCTTACTTTGATTTATCGAAGCGTTGTAGTGAAATTAATTTTCAAATTAAAATAATAATAACAGCATCGTGATCAATGTCAACTCAGCCTCTCCGTTCTTTTATAATGTGGAAGGGTACAGCGCGTGTACTCGTACCTTATATCGAGCGATTGAGAGACGAGATTGAGCTCACGATCAAATATTGAAATTAGAAAATGGGATCGTCGATACCTCGCATAATATCGTACCTACGTTAACAGGGGATTGACGATATCGTTTCGTTCCTTCCAACAGCAACCACACTCCAACAGCCCCGTGAATCCCCGCGGCAAGAATTTGCACCATAACGCCGGTTACTACGACCACCCAACCCCAACCACTCTCAGGGTAGTAATGCTGCCTTATGGTGCATCGCGCGATGTATCTACGGACCATGAAAACCAGTTAGACGAGAATAAGAACGCTTGTTTCGGTCTTACCTGCCTCTACTCGTCCCATTACTCTTAACGTTTTACGCTGTATTCAACTTAATAAGCTCGGTATAATTACCAGTGAACGGATATTAGTTTCTATTTGTGTGTAAAACAAAAAAATATTTCGAATTTTATTGTTCCACGAAGTGAAGAAATGATTGCAATCAGTTTAGAAATTGTTTGGGAGAATAATCTTAAATTTATCTTCGCGCGAATTAAGGATTTGTTTTTTAAATTTTGAAATTTCTACGTATGGGAGAAAATATTTCGAATATTCAATTATATTCCGGGATTCCAGGAAATTGAAAATTTAGAAAATAAATTTTATCTTTTTCCATACGAATTGAAGTGAAATTTGGATGGAAATGAAATTTTTCGACAAATTGCCAATTTAAGGGCTGCGTAAATTGTATCCGTAAAGTCAGACCTAGGATCTTGATTTTTATCTCCTTCGATCCCCTTTGGTCCTCTTGTTTCTCGCAGACAAACGACTCCCTCGCACTCTCCCGAGAACGAAAGTTCACCTATATCACCGGAAGTCGCTACCCCACTGTCCTCGTGAGTGGGACTGAGAACGACAATCTTTTCGTTGCGGTCTCGAGGCTTCATATCTTGACTGATTGTCACCAAGATACACCGTTCATGTTTACTATCTTTTCCCTCTCATTATATCACTATTTCTCTATTTCATTATCCTTATTATATAAAGTTATTATAAATTTATTTTAACAATTTTTAAAACGATTGAAATTTGCAAGAAATTTGCAAATATCAATTTCAATCGATTGTGTATTTTCAAAGTATTTATTTAAAAAAGACAAAGTTCCTTTTATGTTTTAAATGAATTCTATTGTAAAATGTCTTTATTATATTTTACATCCTTTTTTTTTTATACTAGAAGGTCGATAAATATGAAAATATATTCGGTAAAAACTCGAGGGACAGATGAGGAGAATGATAAAGATACAGAGATAGAATATTCGTTTAAAAATTATCCTACAGAAATCTTCCCCGGGGAAGATTCATCGTTTTAGAACTAATCGTGCGCACTTCCTTTTCTACATATATTATAATAAAATCGAAAGATAAGATAGACGAATTTTAGAGATACGGAAAGTTTTAATAAAATTTTTGAAAGGAGAATGGTTTCAGATCTTTCGATAAGCATGTAAGGTCAGAATGTAGAATTATGTCGGGATTGAAAATATATTCTGAACTTTATTCCAGTCACGGTGGAGATTAAATTCCATAGCTTGTGGCAGATGTAAGATAGCCACAGATAGATAAAGTTGGCAAACCGGAGTGTCCTTTCCATTCTTTTATTCCGAAACTTTCGCGGGGAAAGTTTTAAATCGAGTCAAAAGTTCCTCTTCAAAACAAAACTGAATTCGAGACTAATGCCTTTCTTCCATCTACCATTTTTTACTTATTAAATGAAATAGAATTAAACGATACTTTTTTTCATTCCTTTCTTTTTCTGATCTTAAAGAAAAAGAATTTAATGTAAAATGAATCGTTTCGAATCATCCTTTTTTTTTTTTTTTTTAAATATAATAGTAGTATGGAGAAAAGCATCGATATAAGTATAAATAGAGTGATCAAAAGAACAAAATTGAGATTTTTCTAAACTAACTTGTTTAAATCTAACACGTGTGTATCCAGGTCACACGAATCAGTGTTTTCGTTGAATTACGTTAAAAGCTCGATAAACAGGGGATGCGTAAATATGTGTAGAGACAGATTCGTGGTTCATTGTAATTGTGTTCGAGGAAAAATGTACGAATGAACGAAAGTAAAAGCTCGTGAATATACGAAACAACAGAATCCCTGCCATTTCGAAAGGTCGAAACGATCCGTGACAATGGAGCCAATATAACAATAATCTAAAGCCTCTTTTCTCGTATTTCATTTTCAATTTCGAATAATTTTTACGAAAATTTATTGCAATATTTATGTCGCTATAATTTAGAACGAAATAATGAACAAATTGGTTTAATCGAAATTGGAAGAAATTTTTCATTTTTATTCATGCTCGATATTACCGTAAAAAAGATTCATTGTTCGTGTATTCTCTATTTTCATTATTGATTTTCATAACACAGAGAATTTTCTCTGGAATTTCGATAGAAATTTGTCCACTTGTTGTCATCATCATATTCGAGGACCACGGGGTAAAAATTTTCCAAAAATAATAAATATCCGAGCGAAAGTCAATACGCGTGGAATGATCGAAAAATTAAACTACCAAAAAGTAGTCCTCTTCTCATCTTTCCCTCTTTTTCTACCCTTCTTTTAAACGTCAATTCCTCGAAACCATCATTTTTACAATTTCTCCTATCAATAACAATTATACAAAAATCAAAAAAAAAAAAAAAAAAAAAAAAAAAGAAAAATTTTTTTCTACGCATAAATTCTCTACGCAAAAATGCGAAACGAAGAACAATAAATAAATCAACGACGTTTGTCCATCGTTTGTTGTTGTCTAAACGTTCGAAATCACACTTCAATCCACGTGCACTCCGAGCCACCTGCTTGCTCGAAATAAATCGTGCGCGATTCTTTCCCCCGTTTCGATTGAAACTTAACTGACTGTTCCGTGAGAGGAATCGACGGTGGGAAAAGGGACACAACACACGAAGGCGGACGAAGGGGGCGCGTTGTCGAACGCGGACTGGATTCGGTTAGGTGGTTCAGAGAAGAGGACCGTCGCAAGCTGAGCTTGCGTAGGGGAAACCGATGGGCCAATCCCCTCGTTTTCCAACCTCGCCACGTGCTTTCATAGTAATACAGTTTTGCGTTTCGATTCGTGGTCGCTGAAGATAAATCGTATTCGAGAGTTGATTGTATTCATGTGTTGATCGAAACCTTATCGGTTTTGCATACACGAGAGCGAATTGGGGAAGAGAAATCTCGATTTCTTGGAGGGGGTTGATTGGGATTGTAGATTGTTTGAGATTGTTTGAGATTGTTCGCCCTTTTTGGTCGGTTTAGAGGCTGACAAGAAACGAGTCGTTAATGTTTTGTATCGTATAGGTTTGGTACGAATTACAATTGTGCGAATTTAAGATTTTATATGCACGTTTATTAGAGAATTTATCCCGTTGATTGGAAAAGAAAATGGATTGGAAATTTTCAATCGTGAAAATCATTCAAGAAACTTTAAACGAAACTATTAAATGTAAGTTACGTTTGTAACTTAATATTTTATTTGTTAAGAAGTTTGAATTGATATTGAAATTGAAATTGAAATTTTCGATTAAGAATTGAATTAAAGTCATAACTTTGTGCTTTCTATCCGATAAGCGAATCGATAAAACGGTTTAACCGATCTCTCGCGTAACTATAAATCAGTGTCAAGCGGAAAAGTCGATCGATCGTGCGAAAAAAAAAAAAAGAAAAGAAAAGAAAAGAAAAAGAAACGAAATGGTAATGGAGATAAGCTCCAAAAATTTAATATGGCGAAACGTGTGCGCGATAATAATTGGTGGATTACGAGTTCTAATTTAATACATCACTGTCGACTCAACGATATTTCATTATTTTTCTTTTTTATCGGATTATTCTGCAATAATTTGCATATCGTTTCGTAACACGAACGACTTTATCCTCGTATATTTTTACTTTTAATTTTCGTGGTAATTTAATTAATAAAGGAATTACGGAATGAAAGATTAGCGCGACGAAAAATATAGTTAAATTTTAATATCTTTATAATATAAATAAATTCCTTATTTGTTTATCCAGAATTATAAGTGAATACAATAAATTGTATTTGTTTAATCAATATCGTGATGATTTATTAACTGCTTCAAATATATAATTTGAAAAAATTCATTTACTCTGTTACATTGAAAAAATATTGTACTCACTATTGTAAATTTATCACGATTTATCTCGAGTTAAATCAAAATGAAAGATGGAATTTCAATTTTCGGTCGTAAATTCGGAATGAAAAATCGAGGTCGGAAAAAAAACTGCACCGTTGCGAGAAATTATGCAGATAAGGGCTGTGAATCGTTGCAAAATTCTCTTTTAAGATAAGACGCGTGAACTGCTTTCAAATCGTTGCTTGAATACAGAAGTAGAAGGTCTGAAATAAATCTACGTACAATAGAATCAACCATCTTTCGAAAGGAAGTGCTTTATTTTCTTCAATAAGCGCAACGGTAGGCGAAGTTTTCGAGCGAATCCAAGAAACACGACATTATAAGATGTCACGTAATTCCTTCAAAGCTTCCTTAACTCAACGATGATCGATATATTTATTTACTTTGATAAATTTCTCTTTTCCTTTTTTTTTTTTAAATTATCATAATTGCATCGTAATCGATATCGCAATATTTATCACTTTTATCGAACGTTTCTTTGTTGAAATTTTAATTCTCATAATCGTTAAGGAGTTGAATTGTTAACTGGAAGAAATGCGCGAATATTCGACATCGAATTTCGCGGAATCGTGTGTCATAAACTTAGGTGTCGCCCTATTTTTATCGTGGTCTCCATGCAGCTGTCCTATCGTTAAATGCATATAAATCTCAAACGCGATCATCCACCATTTTAATATAAACAGTGTTATAAAATACAATTTGAAGAGATATTGAAAATAAATATGTAACCAAAATTTTTAAGGATAAAATCGCAGCTTGTCTGTGCCATCGCTCGTATCTCGAATTCTCGAATTTAATCGACTTGATGTAATGGAAGATTCGTGTTCCATACGATCGGCGTTATGTCGCCAAGAACGAAATATATAACGGCAGATACATTGGCATCCAAATTGTCCAAAGTCGTCGTTCTTTTGGACAAATGGCTCCGGTTAGTAGGTTGCTTTTCTACTCCGTCTAACCAATTTTGTCGAATTCGTCGAGCAAGTGATCTATAGAGACAAGAGACGATCAAAATAATTAAATTTTAATTGAATGTGAATTTTCAAGTTATATCGAATGTGAAT